CCTTCTCGGCTGTGGCTGGGGTCCTTTCCCTTTACCAAGCCATTGTCTACGACACTTAACATTCCGATAAAAGGTCCATTTTTCGTCGCCAGTCACAAGTCTATCCAAAAAACGTGAAACAAGTTGGCGAGAATGGAGAGAAGATCAAATGTCAACTCGGGATTTGAGGTTGTTTTCAGACAATTCATGAGGCACCCATTTTCCAAGTTTAGGAACTTTTCCAAGTTGTTGAAGATGTTGAAAGATGAACAGTTGTATGGTTTGAATTGAGAACCACTGCCAATTCCTCAACTGATAAAGCAGGATTTTCTTCAAGGGCTGCTTCAAGAAGCTTTTCATCAAACTCAACTGGACGTCCGGTTCGATCTTCATCTTCAAGGGTGAAATCTCCACCTCTGAATTTTGCAAACCATCTTCTGCAAGTTCTTTCATTCACACATTCTTCTCCATAAACTGAGTGAATGTTTCTAGCCGCTTCGGCTGCTGAGTTTCCTTTCTTGAACTCATAAAGCATTATGTGCCTCAAATGATTCTTGGGTACTTCCATGTTAGCAGGGTTTTAATCAAACAAAATTTAATTTTATTGTTCTCTAAAATAAAATTTGATCAGTTTAAATGCATCTAAACATAAAAATAATGTTCAGCTCCATTAGACATTATAAAATACTCTTTAAATTTCGTTCATTATAACAAAAAGTTAAAATTCGGTGAGAACTTATGGGATGACCTGATATATATACATATATATATATATATACTAAATTATATTATATTATATTATAAAGAGGTATTCATACAAAGAATTAATCAGTAAAGTTAATGTGATTAATGGCGAAATCTCTTCGCTAACAGATTTAATAAAGCATTAACCTACTAACCATTTGTTGATTGACGAGTTCCTTATGTTTAAAATGTATTTGATGTTCTGGTGCTAGCACTTTCGAAAATTTTATCATTACCCTCATCAGACTTTATTATTAAAAATATTAATATTTAAATATTTAATATTAAAAATATTAAAGCCTGATGATGAAAATGGGAAAATTTTCGAAACACTAACACCGGAACATCAAATGCATCTTACAATTTTAAATTTAAGGATCGCGTCATTCTGTCAAAAATGGGTTTCGACATTCTTTTTTGTTGTTGCTTCTGTTGCTATTATTAGTAGTAATAGTAGTGATATTTTTTATGCAAATTAATTATTGCATACTAAAATTGCTATTAACCAACAGACACTGGTAATTTTTTTCAAGCATATATCTATATGATGAATATAACATGTGAATTTCAGCTTCTCATACCGGTTGATTTTTTTTTAAATATTTGCATTAACTTGTTTCATGGTGTGATACTTTATAATGCAACTTGGAGGTTGTTCATCATATTGTTTATGTATAATTAAACTTTTTTTGCTGTTTGTGTGCTCCATCCATCCGTAAAACCCTATTTCTGTTACATCCTTCCAATTTTCTCTTCATTTGTGCGGAAATTGTCCAGCATTCATTGTCATCGAGGATAATTCATATTCAATAACAATTCAGTGCTCTTATCTTTTGTTTCTGCCAAAAATGGGTTTCGACATTCTCGGAAGATTACTGATAAACCCTTGCGAAAGAAAGCTCCGTAAATATAAACGTCAAAACGTTGAAGGGAAAGAAAACCAAAAACGCGTGTAAACTGCTTCGAGCGTCTCAGTATATGTTTCTACAGCTTGGAGATAATTCACTTCAACGAATTTGTCAAACTCATTGGTGTTCAAAGGTCCTTCGATAGACTCTAATCAATTGTTTTGACCAGAATTTTACAAGCAGATCATTCCACATTCGATCTAAAAAAAAAAAAAAAAAAAAAGAACAAATAAAGCAAATAAAAAACTGGAAAGAGTTAGAAAATTCTTCTTCTATAAATTACAAATAATGCTGAGACTTCATGCTATTTCTTTTAGACACCTTTCCCATAGACAAAATGTTACAGGCCTATCGTTACTCTATCGCTATTTCCATGGCAAATGTTCAAATGAGATACATTCCTTCGTCCCACCAGTTCAGTCTTTTACACCAAACAGCCGCCATGCCACGTGCATTAGGTTAAATCACCCTCATTCTTTTCGTATTCCATTGGTAAGGAGGAAGTTTCATTCAGTTTTTTCTCGCGAAACGCCACTTTGTGAACAGACACCAGAGAAGATGATTCCCCAATTACTACAATTAAGCCCAGGCGTTATCTAGCCTACCTAACGCGATAATCAGCACTTCTTACTTCACCCAATTACGTTAATAAAACAACCAGATTCAGTAACCCTCTACCTTGAAGAGACTTGAAGCAACAAAAATGTAGTACTACAGAGGCATACTGAGAATACCATAAAATGACTATTTGAGTTATGAAATTTTAAAGAAAATAGAAATTAAAAGGACCCTTACACTTAACATCAGAGAGAGACAGTTGAAATATGTAGCGCACAAAATGAGGAAAGAGGACTTAGAAAATTAGATACTCACAGGACATATTGAAGACAAGTGAAATAAAAGAAAGCAGGGCATAAACTACCAAACAAGCTTCTGTAAATAGCTGGCAGAACAAGGATTAGGAAAGATAGTAAAAAGTCAAAATTTACTAAGTGCTACAAAGGACAGGAAATTGTGGAGAGCCATGGTCGCTTACGTCGTGAATGTATATGGTACATAGAAGAATAGCTTCTCGTTGATGGGATGCATAGATTTCATGGATGGGTGAAAATTATCACGAAGCAGTGCAAGGTAGCTCTCACCCATGCCACATTTACACATCCCACCATTTTGAAACCGCAATCACCTTGCACGGTACCTTAAGTACTATGGTCCCATGGGCTTTGTATCAAACCCGGACCTTAAAAAAACCGAACCTACATTTTTCGTTATCATGTGTAAATTTTTGTGCTTTCTTTTCTAAAAAGATACGACAATTCACATATTATTCTGGTACAAGGCCATGGGCACAGGGAGGACCAAACCCATTTTTCTTTTATATTTTGGTTTTGCCATTTCTTTACACAAGTTCGTTTGGTAGACGTATCGCTGTCCTTCTTGCCGTAAATATACCCGGCAAGTGTTAAATTCTCCAATCCTTTTCCTCACGTATGATCCCAAATAACACTGTTATGGGGCCAATCTCTGGCTGGTCTCCTGGATTTACACCACACCTGACTCCGAAACAACTGAAACCATGAAATTAATCCTCCGGGGTCCAATTAGCGACGTCGTAGTGGTTAAATCCTCTAGTGGATATTCTGACCCCATATTCCATGAAAGTAAAAGAACGCTGAATTGATACGCGTCTGTTAATTAAATTCATTAAGTATAGATGAGATTTTAACCCGTATATGTCACCGTCGATAATTCTAACCATACACCTTTCGTTAAAATCTTTTAGTAACCAATGCTGTCCAGTGATTCCTTTCATCAATTATTCCGGTTCACACGTAATTCCTTATATGAAATGTAACCACGATTTAAGAAATGGAATGTCCTTTTTTTTTTTTTCCTTTTTTTTTTTTTTTTTCCTTTTTTTTTTTTTTTTTGGCATTGTCAGGCCTCGTTTAACTCCGATGATTTTCGTCGCTTTCCCATGAGCAGCAAGATAACCAGCGTCCACACTTGTCAAAAAGCAAAGCAGAATGAATATAGGTTTGAGCATTTCTATGATACTAAGCTACGGTAGTGCCACTTACCATTTTCTTTTAATACAGTTTGTCATATCTTTTATCACGTCAGTGTAGATATATAAATTTATACATAGTCTACCTAATAAACTAAAGAATCGCTTATAACTTACAGGCTTCAATGTTCAAGTTTAGTTAAAATTTGATTGCCGATATTATAGACAGGAAAGACCATTGCTTACTGGAGCTGCACAATCTTCCTACGCACAATTCTCTCGATTTTGGTGTTATACCTTAAAAGTAATATTTAATAAAGATCCTGAACATAAGTATATTCAGTTTAGACATGAAAAGTCGAATTCCTTTTCCTTTTTCTAAAATTGCTAATTACTTCTTATGAGCTAGAATTTGTTATTTGTTATTTTATACATATTTTTTAGTCTGTTGGTTACAGGCTTGGGAATAACTTCAATCCCCCCCCACCAAATTTACAGACAAATTCAATACATGTATACTCGGATTTCTTCTTAGCCAATAAAAATGGACAATTTTCGGCCTTACACATTGTCTACTCTCTTGCTTTGAAATCAAAAGGCTAAAACCACCTGAGTGCATCTCGTTGGCGTATAAACACTATTTATTTTTACTGCCTTATAATTGCTTTACTTTGCCTTGTATTATTTCATTCTGCTCTTTTTATTATTATTGACATTTACATTCAAAATGAATCGCTTATTCAACATAGGCTTCAAATAGTTATCCCAGAGATATGACTGCAGATTTCTTTGTTTTTTTTTTTCAAATGTTTTAATATGTTGTGATTCATCAAAGTTACTGTATAAACCATCTACGTTTTAGTCGAATTGTGAATGATGCATACATTATCATTTCACCACAAACAAGGCAACAAAGCGACTAAGACGCAGAGGTTACTGAGCGCTAAAGAATAAAAGAACAGGAATTAAGAAGACAGAAGATAACGATTGATATTGCATTTACGTTTCTGAAGATCAAACTTGACTGGAAAGCAAGAAACCGGAAGTGAGTTCCACAAGCGGAAAGTGCGAACAAAAGAAAGTGTTAGCATACAAAGTTTACATCTGGCCATTTTAACTGTAAAACGATTATCATGCTGCTACTGCTTACTTGTAAACGCTTAATAATATTCTACCTCATAGAAGAACATGCATTGTTTCTCTTTTGGGAACTTTACTATATTTACTTTTAAAGAAAAAAGATAGTGAACAAATATACCTATATCAAATCACGTGACGTAACAAGATTTAACATGTGACCGGACGCAGAATGCTTTATTATACATTACATAATCATCAAGTAGTTACTTTGAAGAGTTTAAATGACTGAGCTCAGTGTAAATCCACCGGAAAAGGACATTAATAGTAATAGTGAATAGCATGATTATATCGTTGCCTGAGAAGCCAAATTAAATTCTTAACTCACTAGCAAGCTATATAATTTAAAGAGAAGGTTGTACACTTCGTGTGAACTGTTTCTTGGTACATAAAACAGCTTAGTGCTAAAAAACGCTTTTTTATTATATATTTTTACTGATTTCACTTTTTAAAATTTTATTTCCTTCCATGTTATTTTCTTTCTCTTTTCTTTTTTACTGAAATTCATTTTTTTATTCGATCTTTATCTACTTTTCCTTTTATCTCTTTTATTTCAGTAAAGTCTCTTCAATTTTCACACGTCTGCATTTTTCACCGGCTTCTCATTTAATTCTTTCATCCTTTTATTATTTTTATTTCTTTTCTTACCTATTAATCCTGTCTTATTTTTCCCTCTATTTCTCTCTTCTTTCTCAGTATTTAGCTCTTTCTTCGTCGTTTTCATTTTCCCCCTCCCGCTGAGAGAGTTCTACATTTTATCACAATTTCGAACGTCTGTCATCAAAGTCTACTACTCGATTCATTTTTCTCCCATATTTTTAATTTTTAGCGGAGTTATTCAATTTATTCTTCCAACAGTAATTTCCACATTTTTTCTTGCTATTTTGTTTTTACAGTTCTTGTGGCATTTTTTCTGAAGAAATCCTTTTCCCCACTTCCTTTCTTCCTTGTTTATTTTATTCTCACATTTCTTTCCCTATTCCGCCTTCATTTTTTTTACGACCATTCTTGCATTTCATTTTATTTCATTATTCTCTCAGTTTTATCATATCATTTACTTTCTTTATTCTTCACGAAATTCGTTCTTCATATTTTTCATATTCTTCTTCTCGAGGTTAATTTCGCGTTTCTTTATTATTCTTTATGCAAACTTTTCAAAATTTGTTCGTCTTCATTTTTTTTTTCTTCTTTTTCACACATTTCTCGTAGAACCTGCTTTTCTTCATTTTTATTCATCTGGAAATTAATATTTCTTGTATTTGTTTTACATTCGTTTCTCTACTTAATTTTCTTCACTTTTTCACTTAGCTGTCTCAGCATTGTGTACTATTCTTCGAATTTTTTCCCCCAGTCAATCTCTCCTTTCTATTCTTTATTTCCCCTTCTTTTTATCGTTCTTTTTGTACACATTCTCTCTTCTCTTCTCTCTTGCTGGTTCTGTTTTGAGCGCCCGTTTTCTTTTCCTTTATCCTCCCCTTCTCCTTCTTTCCTTGTATTTCTTTTTAACGTCTGTTTTCATCTCGATCACCCTCTCTTTACATTCTCTTCTCATTTCTCGTTCTTTCTCGTCCTTTCTCGTGTCGCTTTTCTACTCTTCTATTTCCTTCATTTCCCTTTTTCTTTATTTTTCTCGAACTTTTCATCTCGTTCATCTTCTCGTCTCTTTCTTTTTTTTCTTTTTTCCTTATTCTTTTCTCTTCTCTTTCCTTGCTTCCGCTTCTTTCTTCTCGGCCTTTTTCCTCTCGTTCATACTCTCTTTGCTTACCTGTATCCGTCCTTTTTTTTCACTGCCATTCTTCTTCTTTCTATCCTTTCCATTTAGTTTCTTGCCTTCTCTTTTCTTTTTTCTCTCCCGCGTTTTCTTCTTGTTATTCCTTCTAGTCTCTATCCTTCTTTCTCCTTCTCCTTGATCTCTTGTGTTTTCTTCTTTCCTATTTCCTTTTCCTCTTGTTTCCTCTTCCTTTCTTCGTTATTTTTCATCTCGTTCATTCTCATTTTTTTCTTTCTCTTCTTCTTTCTCGTTCATCCCCTCTCTTCTCTTTCCATCCTTCCTCCCATTTCTTTCTTTTTTCTCGTCCTTCTCCTCTTCCTTCCACTTCTTTTTCTCTTCCTTTTTTAATCTCATTTCTCTTTTTTTGTTTTTATTTCTTTCTGTTTGTCTTTCATTCTTCTTCCATTTTTCTTTCCTTCCTGTTCTTCATTCTTCATTTCCATTCTCTTTACTTCTCTTTTCTGGTTCCTTCCTTCTTTCATTCTCTCTCTCTCTATTTCTCTCTCTCTCTCTCTCTCTCTCTCTCTTTCTCTCTCTCTCACTCTTTCACTTCTTTCCATGATTACTCTTCTTTTATCTCTACTTTTTTCTTATCGTTCTTTTTACCCTTTCGTTCTTTTTTCATCTCCTTTCTCTTTTTTTTTACTTTCCTCTTCTTATTTATTTCTTTTCGTTATCCTCTCCTTTGTCTTTCTTTTCTTCCCATTCTTCATCATTCTTCTCTTTCATTACGTTCCCTTCTTTTTGCTTCTCCTTTTTAATCTCGTTCATTCACCCCCCATGCCACTTTTATCTCTTCCTTTTTCTTCTCGTTTCCTCTTTCTTGTCTTTCTTACCTTCCCCGTCTTTTTTCCTTGTCTTTTTTCTTATCATTCTTCATTTTCTTTTTCTTTCCTTGCGTCTCATTTTGCTCCACCTTTTTCATGTCGTTCATTCTCTCTCTCCCAATTTTCTATCCATGATTTTCTATTCATTCTTTTATCTCTTTCTTTTTCTCCTTGTTTTTGTTTTTCTCTTCCCCTCCATCCTTTTCCTTCTTTTTCCTCATACATTTGCTTCTTTCTCTCATACATTATCATTTAAAATGACCAATAACTAATTGGAATCTGGCCATATACTCGCTGAAACTTACAAACAAGATTTAAAAAAAGAGTAATAAGTGTAGCCATTTAATTCTTGTTTTCTTACTGTCTAAATAAGCTGTATTCATATATGAATATATAAATCAACAAATAAATGTATATATAACAGGTTGTGCGAGAACTTAGTTTTCAACCCATATATATATATATATATATATATATATATATATATATATATATATATATATATATTTGCGCATTTCTTTCGCTATTGATAGATAATTCGCATGTACTGAAGCTAGCTTTCTGCCGATGACAAAACAGGGAACAACTCTCTTCCCAACTGTACAAAACGCAATTGCAGAAAATGAAAGAGATCATCAAGTACAATCACTTAGCAAATATTTGCAAAGACGAAAATTCTTTGAATTGTGCCAGTCTCAGCGTCAAACAAAATAATCCATTAAATCTCAGAAAGTGTCGGATTAGCAAGAATATGACAAATTAAAATGTTTTTTATCGAAATATCAAAGAAAGTGTAGGTGTATATATATATATATATATATATATATATATATATGAGTGTGTGTGTGTGTGAATAGAGAGAGAGAGGGAGGGAGAGAGCACAAGACAGAGAGATAGAGACTAGAGAAATAACACACACACGCAACATATATATATATATATATATATATATATATATATATATATATGATGTGCATTCCGGAGGCAAAAATTTCTTCAAACATGTTGTGGCTGAATAATATCATCAACTTTTGTCTATCTAATATTTTGTTAACGTTTTCTAATACCCGAATTAGTTGATTTATGTGATCGGTAAATTTACCAAATGTCATATTTATTTTATCCACAGTAATTTTCAGTGTTGCTACATTAGTTTTCAAAGATTTTATATACATACATACATACATATATATATATATATATATATATATATATATATATATATATATATATTATTGATCTGATGCGCTATACCACTCAGCTATAGAGAAGCTTCTCGTTAGCAAAATCAAAATTACTCTTTTAAAACAACAAAACTTTGACAATCCTTCTGGGATGATTATGTCAGCTCAAGGAATTTCTCGAATATTCGAGCCGGTAAATGTAATTAATAATTTTTATTTGAAAACATAGCATTTACTTGTATCTATTTAAATAGCGTTTATATAGAAAATATATTAAATAATCGTCGGACTTAATTTAATATGTTGTCAATGTTTATGTTAAGATACGTTTCTAAGCACGAGAGCTTTGCTTTATAAATATCAGTATACCAGATGTAGCAATGTCAGTTGTCTCTTGTTAAGGATACAACTTCAGGATGTTCCAGCAATCCTTTTGACAATTATCATCTTAAAGAAGGTGGGGTAAGTGGGGCGGACCGCCCAAAAACCAGGTCAACCTACCCTGACAAAGGAGGTCAGCTGAGTGGAGCAGAACGAGGTCACTAGAACCTGGGTTCTTGACGAATTAGTTTTTTACGGGAAATCTGACCGGACAATGAAGTCCTGTTTTTTTTTTTTTAGAAGAATGTGGACTTTAGGAGCCTAAACTAGATGTCCGCTCACTCACGACATGAGATGGAAGGCACACCCGATTAAACCGTTCACTCTCTCACCTTGACTCACTTTTCTTCGCACGTCCACGTAAGAGCCTTACGAGAATGTAGCAACAAAACAAAATTTGACGACTCTACAATTTTGGGGTTTTTTTCTTGGTTAATGATACGGCCAAAGAATTATTTGTGCTTGTATTAAGCTACAAGGGTTCGACTAGAAGCTGCACCCTGAGGACAAAACTGATGTCTTGTCTAAGCTGCAAAGCTACCCTATGCATCGTCTACAGTAAATCGGGCTTGTTTTGTTTTTTAAGCATTTCACTCCAAGTAAGGCGGGGTGCCACTAGCACGCAGGGGGTTACAGAGAGTGAAAGTGAGGGAAAAGACTGTCTAGAGGGGATTGACGAAAGGATAAGAGAAGAACAGGCAACTGAAAAATGGCGATTGACGTTGAATTTAAATTTTTGAAGATTGTAGTTATCAGGGAAGTAAATAAGAGGAAGGGAGTTCCACAGTCGGGATGTTCGAGAAAATAAACTGCTGGAGTAGAAGTGGCGGTTGCATTTAACTATTTAACAGTAAAAGGGTGAAATTTAGATGCCAGTTTAGTAGCACACTTAAATATATGTAGTCGGGACACCCGGGAAAAAAAAGCTCGCCAGAGCAGTTGCCATGAAAATATTTGTAAAAAAGACAGAGGGAAGCCACATCACGTCTGTGATAAAATGAGTGAAGTCAAGATCTCAAGTCAGAACCGATTATTTTGCAGATCCTTTTTTGGATTTTGTTGAGAACTTCGAGATGAACAGAATGTGCACCAGACCAGATATGGCAACAATATTGGATGCATGGACGAATTGTAGATTTGTAGATGTGTAAAATGGATTCTGACGAGAACAAAAAACATTCTGGGACGACACAGTGAACAAATTTTCCTTGCAGACGACAGCCAGGCCGAATTTGGGTCTTTCTACTGAGCGAGTTTTCAAATTTGACAGAAAGCTAGGAAACCACAATATCAAAGTTAATATCATGCGATACAAACGGAAGGAAATAATGTTTGTAGTAATTTACTGTTTCTAGCTGTGCAGCTACAGGAGATCTTTTGAAAGACTTGGAGTTTGAAATAGCGACAACAGATACTAACGAGTTCTTTATTACAAATCTTAAGCGTTCTTAATTAAAATCAGTAAACACTCCCAGCATTCTACTGCTTTACCAATTCGATTGATTGTGCTCTCATTCCGGCAAGATCTGTCGGATAAAATAAGAACGCTATATCTCCAAGATATGTAAATGTAATACACAGTCTGACCAAAATGAAATCACCTCTCTGATTTTGATATTCGAAGAAGAATACATGTAGATTCTACAAATTTTCTTCATCGGATTCCTGGTCCGGTAATCGGTCAGAATCCAATACGCTCAAATTGATTTTCTTCTCTGGTGGCGTAACAGTTACAGTAAAGAGAATCGGCGAACCAAGTTCGAATTCAGGCTGAGACTGTTTATTTTAATTTAATTAATCTGTCTATATTTTTAAGATGAGGTATTGTAACTATTTACATTATTTAACTTGTTTGGACTGTTGTCCTCATCGTCATATTCACAGCGTTTCGGTCCCCACGGATACATGGTCCAGTGGATAAAAGTGCTGGTTGAAGTAATACAGTGACGTAAAGAGTTGTGAGTTCAATACCAGGCCACAGCAGAGGTGAACAAAACCCGGAGAGTTGAATTAATAAAGGGAATTAATTGAGACTGAGATATCAAGAAAAGCATGACACGTGGGACTAGAACAATATACACATGTGGATATGACAATAAAGATGAGGACAACAGTCCGAACAATGTAAATAGTGTAAGCTTAATATTCTTAACAAGGCATGAATCCACTTCAACCTGCGAGCAGTTCCATCTCCAGTTAGCTTGATAAAGGTTTCGACAGAAACATGCCACAAACCTTGAATTAAAGAGTCATCTTGCTTTCTTCCCTACTGTTGAATATCATGTAACTTAATGGATACCATACATTTATTAGCCATGTGCCAGACTAGAATGAGTAAATAACTATTAGAGTATTTCCAGAATTTCTGATCAATCTATCCTCGGAAATCATATCTTCAGTGAGTATAGGCTTCCCTGAAGGCTCCATATTTATGCCCTTGTGCCAAACTAAGTTAAGATTAATAAAGGTATATAAAAAGAACTTGCTGTAATGACTGAGGTATCATTCTATTTCTTATTGGCTTTACTAGTTCGCGTTTGAGCGTAGGTAAAGAAACAGGAATTAGAATTCTGATTTTCAAGCACAATCTTTCTACCCCATATTCCCATCATTTGATTTTGTGTATTACTTAGTAAATCTCAAGGTAAGTTTGGTACAAATTCAAAAGAAACTTTAGTGTGTAAAGTTTGGTAAAAAGTCAAAAAAGGAACTTTAGTGTGTAAATTACTCTAAAGTAGTTTATAACACGTTTATTTATCATCTCTCAGTTGCGTTTTGGACAGAATACGTTTAGGGGCGACTCCATCAAAGGACAGAGACGCAACTGAGGAAAATTATACCAAGAGGTGCCCAGAGCTGGGGAACAGCTATCCGAGGGCGCGCTCTCTCATTGCACCAGAGAGGGGGATCGGTGCTGGCACCGAGACCAGCGCAACCGACAATTGCGGGGGCTCGG